ACCACACTTCTACTTCACTTCTCAATGAAACGTGTGTATTGAAATCCCGATTTCAAATTTTAATAACGAGATCTTTAATCCTCTTGAGATCGAATTTCTCTCAATTAAAATGGCATAAATGATTTCGGATTTATATATAGAAAGTAAAGAATTTTCAATGAATATATTCCGTACCTTGCAATCAAAGACTATACACGTAATTATTATACACGTAAATTCGAGCATTTATTCTTTTAGAGATCTCAGCTTAATTACTAAGATATTTATCGTTAAATATTAAACAGTTAAAAGAAATAATAATCCTCAGAGTGTATTATTAATTTTTAATTCAATCAATATCGTAAAATCTGATGTTAAAATTAACCTCAATCGTTCTATGCGAAAACGACTGAAAACACTCTGATCATTAACCAGCCATTAATTATGAAAAGGAAGGAATCATCATTTAACGTTCTCTTAAAATAGTGCAAGTAATTTCCATCAGTTTGCCCAAGTCAGATAAATGGAAGTGAGAAGAGTAAAATAAAAGAATCTATATTCACTGCGGCGCGAAATTATAGACGCGGAATCAATTACAAATCGATAAAAAAATGTTCGTCACGTTTTTGTATCGCTCCCTACTACACGAACTATGTTTTTAACGAACGAGAATAAAACATTACGCTTCGCGGTAGTTCGATGTAACACAATAAATACATTTGAATCCTGTTTGTTTGTAACGAAAGAAGAGGGGGGGGGGGGGCCAACATGCATCTGTATAGTAATTCCGCATGAAGGTAAAATCGTATTTCGTAACTATTTAGTTTAGAACGAAAATTACGTCATGTTGCTCCAAAAATTGAATTCTCGTAATAGCGTATTGTGTACAATAGCATCGTAAAACGCAACCTATTTTTTCTTTTTAAATATTTTTTTATTCTAGTATTTAACTATGTACATTGTCTGCATGATTATTTTTTTACGAAATTAATAAAAACACAACTTCAGTACGTAATGTGAGTACTAACGAGATATCTATTATTCGTTATTATTTAATAATTTACAATTTTATTATTCGAAATAAATCCTTTTTAATATTAATTCCTAAAATATCTACAATAGTTTACCACTTTTTAATATTATAAAAGGAAATAAAATGAATCCTCAGGTATAACTTAAGATCAGAGAGGAAGATGAAGTTTTAAATCATGTAACATTCGAGAAGATACTCAACAAGCAACAGTCATCTCGTCATGACGTTGAAACATGGAAACGCTTACGGATCACATTTATAGTCATTAGTGGCTTCTTGTGCAAAGTAAGGAGAGAGAGAGAGAGGAGAGGGGGGGGCGGGGAAAGGAAGAAGGGGGTGAGAAAGAAATAGAGAGAAAGAAAGAGGGGTCGCTCGTACAATCCTCCTTCATTTCGCAGCGCGTAATTCTTGCAGTTAACATGACAATAGATCCTCTCTTATCGGGCGTATACCGGTAGAACGAGAAAGGGACTGCTGCAGGAATAAAAGCCATGCAGCAGAATCGATGCAAACGCGCGCGGATGACTCGACCAGACCAAACTTATGTCCGTGTTCTCCGTCCAATCCGTGAAATTAATCTAGCTTTTGCCCAGAGATACCCATCCGCGCCAAGGGAGGAGCGATAAGACGTTGGAAACGGCGATAGCCACTCTCCTTTATTTCCCAGTCGAAAAATGAGCCTTTATTTCATCGGCGAAATACGAAGAGAGCAGCGTTTCTGGCACCTAAACGGCGCAAGAAACGCGACAGACTCTCCATGAGAGACTTTGGGAACCACGGCGAGGCAGTCGAGGTCCGGTGTACGTAATGCAACGGTTTATTGCTAATATTTCTTCGAGGTAATATCGGCGTTCCCGAGAGTGCTTGGCTTTCTCTTATATACCGCGGAAACTTAACAACGTCTCGGATTCGAATCCTTAGTATTACTCGCACACGCATCTTTCCATAGAATACGGAGATGTTTTATCTTTTTGCACATAAATTATTGCGCAAAGATATTCCGTCCAAAAAAACAAGAGATCTCTTTTGCAGTAAAAACATCAACATTTTAAATAGATATACTAATAAGTTAAATTTGTAACAGATATATTATCGGAATTTTATTTCTCAATTAATTTCACAGTTATAGTTTAAACAGTAATATATTTGCAAGAAAGATGTTATGTTTTACCAAATCAATCTTTAATGAAGATTTAAATATGCAAAAGTTAATTGTTCTAAATGTAACTTAACTCTTTGGATCAGCGATGCCGAATAAAGTGAGTTCAAATTTTTGCTAAAGCAGAATGGTTTCGAATTCGCGTGAGAACGTTTATGTATCGCTGACTACTGGCACCTCTTCTGGACCACCTTTGTATAAATGCTATGGCGCATACTCGCGCGCCCGCCCGTCGCTCCATTCATCCAGAGCGATTAAACGTAACGAGCGCCATTATTGAGGAAGAACGTGTGAGGAACGGAGACGCAAAGAAACGACCAAAGTTCGACGGACAACGTGGTCTTTCAGGCACTACCCGCGACATTAATAGCTTCCAGAATTAAATGTGGCTCGACCCTGCTTGTCGCGACTCACGCACACGATTGTACACGGAATACACGTACGTATATGTACATGAGTATTTCTCTATCTGAAAACGAATCGACCGTGAACGCGTCTCGAGAATATTCGGATAGTATGGCGACAAGCTGCTCCCTCGTGTGGATGTTATCTTTTTGCCACTCGCTATCTAATCGGGCTTTCAACGTATGCGTGTATTCGTGACCGAGTCTAAAAACGATAGTACGCATAAGGCGAAAATTTACAATCATAGTCACAAGAACGAGTTCACCATGTGCTATTAAAACATGTAATAGACAATAATTAGATTATTTTTTGACAGATTTAGAGCAGATCTCCTTCAGCAATAAATGGAAAACTCAATTATGTACCTAAAAATGGATCTTTCTCTTTAACAGAATTTAATCGAGTTTTCTTAATTAAGAGAGATAAGATTATTTCAAATAATTAATAGAATATGGAAAGGTGTCAGGTAATCTTATAACATTGGTTCTCAGAAAAGACAGAACTTTTTTAACAGTTAAAAATTATAAATGTTAACAAGTTATTATTTCTTGCACAATACAATAATAATGATGACTAATGTGAATAATAAATTTGTATGCATACTTCAACATTAATATTATATGTTAAATGAGCAATTCCAAATGTTTTTTTATGACTTTAAAAAGAGTTTTTGGAACCGCCATAAAATATTCAGGTTCATTTAACGTGCAACTTTTCCGGCAATGTAAAATATTTAACGCAAATTTTCGCATTAAACTTTTTATTGAAGTAAAATTTTAACACCACGCGACAATAATAGGTTTCAGTGAAAGCGTTATTTATCAATCATAAAATCTGCAATTCCGTTTGAAAATATACAATAGGCGACATCGCAAAAAACACTATGCGTTATTCTGCTAATCTTCGCTTTCATGTATAATCCAAGATAAGTAAAAGATAACAACGAAGTTTATTGCAGAAAAGTGTATCAATGTTACACCGGCATATGTACTCACAATTACGCGACTGCCGCACCCCACGTGTATATATATATACGTGTACACATAGACACGTACCTCCTCGCTTTATCTAATCGCGAACGTGCGTGTATAGGTGCCATCAGACAATACGGCACCATGCGATGGCGCGGCGGCGCGGACGAACGTCGAGCTCGAGGGTCTCCTTCAATTTTTACATAATGCTCGTTGCCTCCCCGAGCCAGTCTGATTTATTGACGATGTCGATTGGTACTCTCGCTCCCCGCGCGTTGAATAATTGTCGCTATTAATAACTGCGAATTCAATTCTCTTCGGTTCAATATCTACAGAGACGCGCTTGGAAGACGGCGAGCCGCGCCCCCGATGCTCTTCTCTCTCCCTCTTTCTCAGTTTCATTTAATCGCACCTTGCCTCGGGAACGCATATGAGAGACGGGAAATTCT